GGGAAGGGGGTTGAGGTTTAACCGTTCCAGGCCCGGAGAACGAAGAGAGCTCCTCTTGGCATCAGCAAGTGTGGTCCTTGGCCCGGGGTTCGGAGAGAGCGAGGCAGGAGCCAGGTTCTAATCCCGGCCCGCTGCCCACCAGTTGGGGTGGCCTTGAGCAAGTCCCTTCCCCGAGCTTACCTGTGATGGTTTATAAAGTGGAGAATAGAGCGGGAGGGTCAGAGAGGGCCAAGAGATGGACAGCATTCTGTGATCGAGAAGCCGGGGGTTATGGTGGCAAACTGAGCTGCGGGGTGGGGTGGGGCCCCGGCTGCTGAGACCCTGGTTCTCTCGGGGCTGCGCCTGTGAAAACACTCCGGGGGTCTGGGTGGGGGCCGATCGCAGCGAGAGGTCCCAGCGGTGTGGGAGTCAGGAGGAAGGTGGGCGCTTGCTTTGCGCGTCTGTGCAGGGATGGTCGAGTGTGGAAGTTGGCCTGGGAAGTGCCATTAGAGAATCAGCAGGTGCTGCCCTTTGATGAGCGAGGGATCTGGAATCAGAGTTGAATCATCAGCTTCTGTGAGACCCTGGGTTAGTTACTGAATATCTCAGCATCAGTTTCTTTTATCAGTGAGATGGGATAATAGCCATGACATTTGGGGCTGGATAATTCAGTAGGAGGGGCTATCCTGTGCACTGGAGGACGCTTTGCAGTATCCCCGGTTTCTACTCACTAGATGGCCATTAGCAACTCCACCCTACCCCCCAATCCCCTTCCCTCCCGTAAGATAACCAAAACTGCCTCCAGACATTGCCAAAAGTTCCCAGGGATTAAAATGGTCTCGGACTTAGAGCCACTGGTCTATACTATTTCTTCCTCCTCCCTTCCTTTCTTTTGGAACACTGGGGGTTTTCAGTAGGCACTACTGTAACGGCTTGCAACCCACAGTTTGAAAAACCACAGTTCTCCCGCAAAGATCACGAGCTCAAATATCTATATTGGCCTGGCAGGTGAGCCGAGACTGGCCGATACCTAAAAGAAATTGCAAGAGGGGCGCCTGGGTGGCTCAGTCGGTTAAGCATCGACTTTGGCTCAGATCATGAGATCTCACGGTCCGCGGGTTCGAGCCCCACGTTGGGCTCCATGCTGACAGCTCAGAGCCTGGAGCTCCCTCTGTGTCTCTCTCTCTCTCTGCTCCTCCTCTGCTTCCGCTCTGTCTCTCTCTCAAAAATAAGTAAACATTAAAAAAAAAGAAGAAGAAGAAATTGCAAGAACATAGATAAATGGCAGTTGGCATTTGCCAACTTACGGCAGTTGCCGTAAGGCAGTGATTGCCCAGAGTTAACAGAATCCCTGTCTGCTCCTTACCTTTGCGGAGATTATCCCCGCCTCCACCCCTGCCCCCACCGGCTACTGCATTGCCCCTTCTCTGGAAAAACTAGTGGTTGGCAGCTTCAGGCAGGCCCCTTACCCACCAGGTTTTTCCAGCAGTTATTCTCCAGTACGGGATGTTTTCCACAGTCCCCCCTTCCCTTCCCTCTTTGAGTGTTTAAGGGGGACTGTGCTTCGTGGCGGGAAAAATGAAACTCCGTTTCTCGAACCGCAGGTTAGAGCCTTCTCAGATCTGAGTGTTCCTAGCCAGAGCTCCACGACAGAGAGCCGGCAAGGAGAAAGCGAAGAACACATCTTGGAGGGAGAGATCCCCAAGGATGTATCCATTCAGCACACCAAGGACTCTTCCACCTTGTTGAAAACCAGCTCGACTGTCGAAACAACTAATACTGCTTTTGAATCCACCCGTCGGCCCTTCATCCAGTCCACTACTCAACCCACGACCGAGCCCACGACCGAGCCCACGACTAAGCCCACTACCGAGCCCACTGCTGAGCTCACTACTGAGCCCACTACTGAGCCCACTACCGAGCCCACTACCGAGCCCACTACGGCACCCTTCTGTCCGGGGCCTGATACTTCCTGCTCTGACGTGGAGAGTCAGTCAGCAGAGTCCAAGTTGGGAGAGGCTTTGATGGACTTCTCGGTGAAGCTCTACCATGCCTTCTCAGCAATTAAGAAGGTGGAGACCAACATGGCCTTTTCTCCATTCAGCATTGCCAGTCTCCTAACTCAGGTCCTGCTTGGTAAGAACCTGACAAAGTTCTCTCCAAGTTGTACGTTGGCCCCTCCCAGGAGGGTCCCCCACCCAGATGCCTGCAAACCCCCGATGCCTCAGGGAGGAAGCTATAAAAAATGGGCTACGTTTGGGGGGAGGGTAACTTCATTCTTGAGCATTCATGTATGCCTTCAGCTAACAGTGATTTGATAGGCACCGTGGCCTATAAAACCGCACGGACAATACAGGAACATACATTTTTTATTTTATTTTTTTTAAATTGACATCCAAGTTAGCATATAGTGCAACAATGATTTCAGGAGTAGATTCCTTAATGCCCCGTACCCATTTAGCCCATCCCCCTCCCACAACCCCTCCAGTAACCCTCAGTTCTCCATATTTATGAGTCTCTTCTCCCTATTTTTATATTTTGTTTCCCTTCCCTTATGTCCATCTGTTTTATCTCTTAAAGTCCTCATATGAGTGAAGTCATATGATTTTCGACACAGGAACATAGAAAGCAAAGTTCCAGTCACCAGCCTTGGTTCAGGGTAAGGCGGTAAGGAAGGTGAAGCCATGACTGATAGACGTAGAATAGAATCATGCTGACGGTGCTTTCTGGCTGTGTGACCTTGGCAGGCTCCTTAACTTCTCTGAGCCTGAGTCCTCAGGTGTGAAATGGAGATGGTTGTACCTACTCCAAAAAAGAAAGCAGATAGCTTAGTGCCTGGCTCAGAGGGAGGTCAAAAAAATGTTCATCCTCTGCCTTCCTGAGAGATGCTATTAAGTCCCGTGGGATTAACCTCTATCTACACCCCCTAGAGTGTTCCATAAATTTTATCTGTTACTGCACAGAAGAGGGGCACAATGAACATCTAATAATGAATAACTGAAAGGGTATTGAACGTCTATGCTCTTTTTTTTTTTTAATTTTTAAGTTTATTTGTTTATTTTGAGAGGGAGGGAGGGAGCAGGAGAGGGACAGAGAGAGAGAATCCCAAGCAGGCTCCACACTGTCAGCGCAGAACCGGACTTGGGGCTTGAAGTCACGGACCATGAGATCATGACCTGAGCTGAAATCAAGAGTCAGATGCTTAACCGAGTGAGCCACCCAGGTGCCCCCAAACATCTATGCTGTTTTGTGATTCTCTGGTGTCTCCTCTTATGAGTGAGCCAGTGTCCCTGCCTATAGGGTAAACCTTTGTAAACCCAAACCAACTAAGTAATAGTACGTGTGAAACAGGCAGTGATTGGACTAGGCCTTCCGTGATGTGTGGGATTAAAATTAGGTAGAAAAATGGAGAGTATTCAAAGCTTTGGAAAAGCTTATCCATGATTATTCCCAATTCCCCCACCCCTGTCTTTGACATAGGAATTATCTTTTGAAACAGTCGAGCCCACTCAGATGATTTGCAATTCCCTTCAAAGCAAGAAACAACACGCCCCCCCCCCCCCCCCCCATAATTCCAGCCTGGTCTCTCAATCCTAGTCCTGAATGGTGGGTCCCCCGTTCCTGCAGTTCTCCCTCATTTCTGCCCTTGGTCGTAGGCGCTGGGGACAGCACCAAGAGAAACCTGGAGAGCCTCCTTTCCTACCCCGAGGACTTTGCCTGTGTCCACCAGGCCATGAAGGCCTTCACATCCAAAGGCTTCACTTCATTCTCTCAGATCTTCCACAGCCCGGGTGAGTTTCCTGGGAGAAGACAACAGCTGCTAAGCAGGGATTGGAGAGGATTCTGAGGGGGACCTGGGGAAAGAGGCTGGAGGGAACATTAGAGCTAGAACATCAGCGATGGACTGCAGAGCGGGTGAGGGCCTCAGCAGGAATGCCATTTGGCTCTAGGTGCTGGATGGTTCTCCTGGTAAGGCCTTGGTAAGTCATTTCCATACATCAACCCTGATTAGATTAAGAATGGCCTTCTGCATTTATTCATAGATAGGACCGGAGAGCTCAAGTTAAAAAAAAAAAAAAAATTCTTTTAAGCTTATTCATTTATTTTGAGAGAGAGAGAGAGAGAGAGAGAGAGAGAGAGAGAGAGAGAGAGAATCCAGAGTTGGGAGAGCCTGAGGTGGGGCTTGAACTCACGAACCCCGTGAGATCATGACCTGAGCCAAAACCACGAGTCAGACACTTAACCGACTGAGCCGCCCAGGTGCCCCTCAAGTTGAAAATTTTTTATTAATCTGGGTCAGGGGAGCCTTGAGACTTGTAGTTGTTTGCACTTTTGTGTTCTGTGAATTTGTGGTCATTTACGTATATTGCGTTATTGAGTATGTAATAAGGTTAATAAGCTTCCAAAATGATCTAATACAGTTATTTTCAAATTTTCTTCCCCAGAGCCCTGGGGTTCTGCTGAGCTGCTTCAGGGGTCATGGTGGAAGTTAGGGGGGTGATCAGGGAGGCTGAGTGGTAGGTGGGGTACCAGCTGTGGGGGCAGGGGGCAGATGGGGCCAGCCAGGCTCTGAGCCCTCCCCCAGCTTCCACCAGAACCCTTTTAACTGTGGGCTTCAGACATGACTACTTGAAACCACAGTTCTGCTCCTTAAAGAGGTTCGAAAACTACAGATCTAGTCTGACCCCCTTCTTTAAAGGGAAAACTTTTTCCTGTTTTTCTTAAACTTGTTTTAAAAATGTTTAATGTTCATTTGTTTCAGAGAGAGACAGAGAGAGACAGAGCACAAGTGGGGGCGGGGCAGAGAGAAAGGGAGACACAGAATCCAAAGCAGGCTCCAG